GAGCAGAGGAGGCCGAGAGATTTCTGTTTACGGGAGTAGCCCGATCCAGAATCCTTGGAAGCCATTACAGGATGGATTCAGATAATGGCTGTGTGCGCAGAGTGGATTGAGTGATTGGAGCTTGGAGACGGAGAAGAAGGAGGGGGCGGCGGCTGCGGAGGCGTCAAGAAGAAGGGTTAGCTCGTCGTAGGTGAGCAGCAATGGCGGGTGGGAGAGGAGCGTTTTTTCATTTCAAAGTTTCGAATTGGTTTATCTTTTCAAGCGGGAATTTGAATCCGGTTTCTCTCTTTCACTTTTACTCCGTACTCCGCATTTGACTATTCTCCATGCCCGCGCCTCTCCAACGGCTTCCCTTTTTACTCTGTTTTATAGTTCACCTCCGGTAAAAAAAACAACCAATTACTACCTCCGTCTCACTGTCTTTGTCCACATTTAACTTTTGGAATTGTTTATCTAAGAACTTTGACTCATCAAATTCTCTCAATGTGTAAGCCTAAAAATAGTCATGTGTGATCTTGTTTGATTCGTCTTAACATATAGATTATTAATATATAATTTCTATAATTTTTTAATATACAAATTACAAGATAAAATGGATTAAAGAAGTACATTGGATGGTGTGCCAAAAGGTAAGTGGACAAAGACAGTAGGACGGAGGGAGTATATAAAAAAATGTATCGTAAGTTATACCCTAAAAAGATTTACCGACATTTTCATGATTTACACCGGCATAAAATGCTAATATAATAAAACAAATTATACTGATATTTTGTGTCATTGTAAATCATTACACTAGCATAAAATATTATGCAGGTATAACTTTTGGGGTAAAAAAATGCACATTTTATTTATCAGATATTGAAATTTTAAAAATGAATTTAGGTAGTTGAAAGTGTTGTAAATAGAAATGAATTATACGAACAAAAAAAATTTCCTAAATTGATACTCCCTCCGTCCCTAAAAGATTGCCACGATTTGACTTTTTTGGTCAAACTGTGGCACCATTTGACCTTAAATTATGGAAAAGATACATTTAGTTATTATGTAAATTAGTAAAATTAGGTTCATTTTTTGGCTTTGGGGTGTGATGGAATAAATCAAAATAGATCTCTAAACTATCTGCGCTTCTCTAATTAATGAAGTAGCAGTTAGTCAAACAATGCAACTTTCGACGTTGAGCCGGGGGTCTCTTTGGAAACAGCCTCTCTACTTTCGAGTAGGGGCAAGGTCTGCGTACACACACCTTTCCCAGACCCTACTCTTGTGGAATTTAACTGGGTTGTTGTTGTTGTTGTATATTTTTATAATATTTAATTATTTTGAACTATATTTAATTTATGATAAAAAAATTGTGACCAAGACTTTGCCCAACCCGCCCAAATTATAATTACATAGTTAGGGAGTACAATTTTTCTAAATAGAGTAAATAGGAAATAGAGTAAATTAATTAGGTTTCATAATGTAATAAAACAGTCATATGTATAATTTGGTTTTTCGTGTGCTCATTTTTTTTTTTTCAAAAAAAACAAAAAAACAAAAAACAAGAGAAGAAGAGAGGATACATTCATCTATACGCACCTCAATATCAATGGAAGAGTTTAGCTAAGAAATAAATTTAACTTCAAACATCATACTCTCTCTCTCGTCCTAAAAACTTTTTCTGTTTTGCTTTTTTTACTCCCTCAGTCCTAAAATGTTCTTTCCATTCTAAAAAAATCATACTCTACAGTTGATAAAGAGTGATGTTTAACTTGAGTAGTTACAAAAACTCATGTTGAGGATGGATATCATGTAGATCACATTTTAGACGCAATATATATATATCATACAATAGGTTGTATGATAATTCTCATACATTCGTAGTGAATACTCATTTTCAAAAAACCGAATATTCATTTTCGAGCAACAAAATACTCATTTTCGAATAACAGAATACTCTTACATCTAAACTTTAGTTATTTTCGTAAATGCATATTCACTTACTCGAAAATGAGTATTACATTACTTAAAAAAAATTCAATTACTTGAAAATGAATAATCAAGCAAATGTATATAAAACATAATACATCTAGATGTATGGTATATGTATTCTGTTTCATTTTAGATGATTTTGTGCAATATATTATTTTGGGAGAAGATTTTTTCTTTAAAAAAGCAAACCCAATAAAATGATTACTCAGATCAAACAGCAAAGCATCAACAATCAAATCCAAGCCAAGTTTGACACCATAGATAAGATTATTGTGCACGAAGCAATAAAAGCGCCCCAAGAATGGCAGGCAACAGGCTCTCTTCAGGTAAGACCAAAAACAAAAAAAAAAAACAAAATCGATTCTAGTTGATATACTAGCAGCAGAAGGATTTGTATTTTTGGGGTTCGACCAGCTCGTGAATGGCTCAAATGCGTTGTTGAGTTGTCCTTAATGATTAATGATATATATGTTTTGACTCCTCCAATCTCTGTCTGCTGCATGGACTTGTTCTTAAACTCTGTCACAGAGTGTACAAATACTAGAAAACATTTCACTGATGAATTTATAGTGTAGCCAATTCATGACCAACCAAATAAAGACCTGTCCATACATTCTTCCAGGGAAATTACAGTTAAAACTAGCCTCCAGTAATTTTTTACTTGGCAATTGGCACATCTATTGAGTCTCAAACATTCTGCATTCCTATCCATTACCAAAACCATATGCTTCAAATTCAGATAAAGCACAAAATGTGCCACACCAAGCAAGCACTGTAAGAAAATAATCTCCTTTTGCAAGAACAATTTCATTTCTGAAAGCAAACAGAAAACAGGAAAGGCAAGTATGTTTCTGTTGAAAGTTTGAGCTTTTCAGCTAAGAACAAAGGCCAAGAAGGTTAGGAGAACATTTGCTGTAAAAGACCAAAACAATGCATATCAAAGAGAACTTTATTGATATGACAAAGTGCAAATTCAAGCTACCAAAGAGAACCTTATTGTAGTCCAAATCCACATATTGAATTTCTATACCGCCGACTTACCTTACTACACCCACAACCCTCTATGGCCATCCACAACACATCAACATAAGGGAATCAGAACAATTCCACACAACGATCTTTCTTTCTTTATAATGCCCTATTTTTCACTACCATGAAAAATCAGTCTAAACAAGAGAGTAAAGACCACACTTTTGTAAACAATGAAAGTAAGGAACGGACACACATGAGATTCTTCCTTATGGCCTTGAAATCATTGTAAAAGATCGAGACAGCCGGAACGAGGATGTGCTGCTGCCCCCAACCTCGTCATACTGCTTCCTGCAACCGGGGCACCGCCCATCCTCCTCAAGGATCCTTTTGTGACAGAAGAGGCAGAGCCTAAACCCACACAAACAAGGGAGAAAACTCGTGTCCGTGAAATCCAAATCTTCACAGCATATAGGGCACGATTTGGGTGCTGATGTCATATTCCCCCAAGCAGACCCTCGCCGCTCTGTATTCATGGGAAAACTATACTGTTTGGAAAGACTGGGAAGGGACTGAGGACGAAACGCATCATCATGCCTCCATGCTCTGCATTTTGCCTTTGTATTATCGTCTTTACTGGACAGCTCTGACTGTGAGCCTGATGGATTGCCATTATCATTCAAACCCAAGCTAGAACTGTGGCCATCTGTGTGTTTCTCATCCGTGACAGCCAAAGCATCGGCTATGGCCTCCCAGTCATCCAGACACCCATCATTTCCTTCTTCTTCTTCTTCGCTCATATTCCCTGACCAACATTGGCTGCTGTTGCTGCTGCCGCTGCTTCCGGTGAAGTTTGTACTGGAATAATTTCCACCCAAGTCGCTACTTGAATAGATTGTGGGACTGTTAGCAGGAGAGTCCAAATCACTGTAATTGTGAATCGAGCCTTCATTGTCTTCTTCCACCTTCCTGGGGTTTATCTCTAACTTATTCATACATGGACCCCTATCGTTCTCATCTTTCACACTCCCACAATGCCCTCCTAGACAATCCAGCTCCTCCTTTGTTCCCTTATTCTTCACTATAAAAAACCAAAATCACGAAATCAACAAAAAAAGAAATGCAAAAAATATCGATAGAAATGACAGAACAACAGGACAATCGAAACACAATAATAAAAAAAGAGAGATCTGGGACATACCCTGGGAAAGCCACTGTTCACGCCGGGCATCAAGCTTGTACTGCTTCAACTTCGCCGAACGATGGGCCTAAATTCCGGGGAAAAAATGTAGAAAATAAACAAAGACGATCCGATCACATCAAGAAAATCATAAAGAAAATGAAGAACGCAATTAAATTAGAATAAATAGCACGAAGCAATCAGCCGGCGAACAAGAATTGAAAAATACCTTCTTTTTCTTGGCTAAATCCTTAGGGTTAGCAGCGGCCATCGGGATCGAAGCTTTGGGAATTGAATCGGAAATCATGGCTGCAAAGACGGATTCTTGAGTCGGCGAATCGACGAGAAACCCTATTCTCAAAACGAAAGGGGAAAAATGGGAAAACTTAGAAATTGTGTTATTAGGGATCGGAGAAATTTCGAGAGTGACGAACCACACACAGAAACAGAGGACAACGGAAACTATATATATACACTCTCTAAAAAAATGTCTTGCCCGATTTATAAATTAAAAAAAGACTTGCTCAAATATCGGTTTCCAAGAATATCCTTGGAACCGTACATTATTTCCAATGCAACCAAAGGTTTTGGACTGGAAAAAAAGTAAAACGACGTCGTATGATTTGGGCTTGCTCTTATTGTTCATAATCGGCCAAACTTTACACTAGTTGGGCCGAGTTCGGTGAACCAGTTTTGGGCAGGCCAAAATTATTTCTTTTTCTCAAAATTTTGAATTTTGAATTTTTGTATTAGATTTTGACTTCCAAAATTTAGATTAAGCTTTTCAATTTAGAATCTATATTTTTTTCTTTTGAAACTAAACAAGTAGATTATTATATTATAATTTTTACAAGAGTAGTAGCTTTAACTAAATAATTAAATAAATATATTGATATGTTGATTATATATTTTTGTAGAAATAACAAAAAACAATTGAAATTATTACCTTAAAATATAAATATATTTATTTTTGTATATATTTACATTATATTCTAGAAAATATAACATACTTGTTTGACTAAATGTATTTTTATATGAAGTATTAAATAAATATAGTCTGAAAACTCATACCCCAAAATAATATTTTATATGATTATAATTTTCTTTACAAAATGATATGGATCAGATAATATTTTACTAACAAACTTATCAGCTAGGTTTTGTGGTCATTCTTTTTAAATGGTCACGAAGGACATTGTCCTGATTGGGATACGTATGATGTTTTATTCGTAAAATTAATAGTTCCTACATCTTTATCCTTTTGGTAAATTTCATCTACTCTTGACCCCAATTCATAAAATGCACCATCAATTTTTTCCAAAATATCAAAGTTTATTCCATTTTAATCCTGTCTAGCTCCTAAAAAACATAAGTTCCTTTTTTTTGAGAAAATAAATTCCTAATTTTTATTTTTACTAAATATTTCCACAACTTCAAGCCTTCAACAAATACACGGCATACGGATAGGCGGCGAGTTGCCGGGAATAGAGTCGCCGGTTGTTTAAAATGGCGCGATGGAGTGGATACGACGTCGTATTTCTCAAAAGGCTTATGACGGTTCCACAAAAAAGATTAATTGGCCACGCTCCACAAAAGCAAAAAAGAAGAAAAGAACGAGAGAGAGAGAGAGATAGAGAGAGCCAAACTCTCTAAAACCGGCCACCGCTAACCGCCGCGGCGATGCTGCAGGAAATTCCTCCGGCGCCACCACCACCCCAGCCCTGAAGTGTGATTATTTTCCGTCGATCTCCTAATTAATCCTCTTTCCGGCTCCGAGAAATGTCGGCAACAAGCAAGCAGAAACAGAGTCAAGCACGAGAGCTGAAGCACCGCGTGCTGACGTGCATCCACAAACTCTCCGACCGGGACACGTATTCCGCCGCGGCCACCGAGCTCGAGTCGATCGTCACCACTCTGTCTCCGGACACCATTCCTATCTTCCTCTCATTGATCTCAGCCACTGATTCTTCGGACAAGTCTCCCGTCCGCAAGCAATGCCTCCGTCTTATCTCGCTGCTTTCTGAGGTGCATGGAAACAGTCTCTCCCCTCATCTGTCCAAACTCCTCTCCGCCGTGGTCCGCCGCCTGCGCGATACCAACTCCTCCGTCCGTTCCGCCTGCATCGCCGCCTGCGGATCCATCTCCTCGCACATTACCATGCCCCCGTTCTCCTCCATCGCCAAGCCGTTCCTAGAGGCGCTGTTCACGGAACATGAAATGAACTCCCAGATCGGCATCGCCTTATGCTTGTCGGCAGTGATTGAGGCGTCTCCAGATCCGGATGCAGCATACCTGAGGAAGCTGATGCCGCGAATCGAGAAGCTATTGAGATGCGAAAGCTTCAAGGCTAAGGCGGCGCTTCTCACCCTGATCGGCAGTGCAATTGGCGTTGGAGGCGCTTCTAACCATCTGGTGGTGAAGAATTTAGTGCCGTGTTTGGTAGGATTTGTCAATAGCGATGATTGGGCTGCGAGGAAGGCCACTGTGGAGGCTTTGCTGAGGCTGGCCGTGACGGAGAAAGAAATGTTGACGGAGTTTAAGGGAGCTTGCGTGAAGGCTTTAGAGGCCAAAAGATTCGATAAGGTATAGGAGCATATTGAAGATTGAGTTTGTCAGGATCTTGGCCAATACCGATCAAATTTTGTTTGTTCGATTTGATCCAAGTTGATTTGTGGATTGAAGATTCTCTTTGTGATCGAGTTAATGATTTTTGTGATTGATGACGTAGGTGAAGGCAGTGAGGGAGACAATAGATCAGACGCTGGAGGCTTGGAAGGAGATTCCTGACTCGGATGATGGTGTTTCACATCAACTCAAAACATCTTCCTCATCCAAAGGTATCCCATTCCACCAATCTGTTTTCCAGATTCCTTTCATTCCTATAAAGTTATGGATACTACTTTTTCTAAATGAAATGGTAAGAGATCTTTATCCTTTAAATCCTTGCCTAGTAACTGTAACTGTTATCCAAGGGGTAATTTGTTTCATTCTGCAAAAAATTATGGATTCAGCACACCATTTGGTATATTTTTCATATCAATTTGCCGATGGGAAATTGTGTTCCTTTGTTTACATCTCTCTGCATATATCAGGTGATATAAATTCTGCAACTTTTCTTCCTTAACTTTGTTCGGAAGTAAAGTTTATCACTCATGGTGGAAGCCTTTGTGGATTTGGCTCGTCCCAATTTGCTCTCCTTAGTTTATTTCGTCTGTTCATTTAATTTCTGCCGCTTTTCAACACTCAGGCTATCCCTAATAAAACTAAATCTATCGTTCATCTATACCATTGGTACAGAAAAAGCTAGCGATGGGTATCATCAACCAGGCTCCATGGTTCCGCGCAAAATGAGTTCTGGTGCTCCAAATATTAGAAAAAGATATACCCCTCCAATCAAGTGGCATGTAACTGATAATAGCTCACCTGCTGCTACAGCTAGGAGGAGAAGTCTTCAAGAGGGTACTCAAAAGAAATCCGCTTCTGCAATATTTTGCAAACTTGATTGCAAGAAGACTTATGAAGTAGAGGTTGAAGTTACTGCACCTCAAGGCACTCCACCTGAAGTTTCACGGGATGATTTGAAATATAGAGATGTGAATGCTACAAAACCAGAAACCAGAAGAGCCCTGTTTGGACAGAAAAATGCAGGATCTCGTGTGGTCCCATGTAATGAAGAGAGATCTGAGCATACCACCATTGGCATGAGTAGTGAAACAGAGGAGCCTCACAGGAACCAAAAAGAGTATGAAGAGCTCTCTCAGATTCAGAATCAACTAGTTCAAATTGAAAAGCAGCAGTCCAAGTTGTTAGATATTGTCCAGGTAACTTGTGCTAGACAATGCTACCCTTTCCACTTTCCCCGCCATTTATCTCAACCATCTAGCCTAGTACTCTATTATGCCTTTGAAAAAGCCAAGGAAATTAAAGAACATAGTTTTTTTTTTTTGGGGGGGGGGGGGGGGGGTNAACATTTCTTTTCAAACTCATTTTAATTACATCATTGATTTTTCTTTGTTGTTTTCAAACAAATTTGCAATTATTTATAACTCTGATAAAAGAATAAAAGCAATGTGCATACATCCATACACAGCCCCAATGGCTATGGTTATCATTTTCCATATTTCTATTATATAAAGATTGTGACCTAACTTAAGAACTATTTTCTGTTGCTTACCTTTCCCCGCTTTCCAAACATAGAATCTTTGTAGAAGGGTGATCTACTAGTTTACTACAGGAAAATATTATTTTTCTTCCGGATTTAGTTCACTTTCTTAAAAAAACTCATTTTTTAAGAAATCAGTTTGAAATGTCAAATAAGCCTTTGAAATCATACCTTATTTCTAGGATATCTTAGACCATTCATCATAATATTTCTTATGGAATACGGAATGTGGACAACTAAATTCAGACATAGGGAGTACTTTGAAGTGATTGTTTTTGGGAAAAAAACAATACTAATTATCATCATGTCATTGTTAATCCAGAAATTCATTGGGAGTACACAAAGCGGAATGCATTCTTTAGAGACACGGGTTCGTGGCCTAGAGTTGGCGTTAGATGGGATCTCTAGAGACTTGGCTGTGTCAACCCGACAACAAACATCACCGAAGAGAAAGACTGGATTCACGTGTTGCAAGCTACCCGGTGCAGAGTTTTTGAGCTCGAAACCTTGGAAGAGGACAGGAAGAACTTTGTCCTCGCGGTTCTCACAGGTTGCTTCTACTGCTGCACAAACTAAAGTTGGTGCAAGTGAAGGTTTGACGGCAGAGAGTAGGAGGTTCGGATTCCAAGGAAGCCATGGGTTCATCTTAAATCCATTGGCCCATGAACCTCAACAGGGAGACTGTGAGGCTTCCACAAGTGGCGTCTAAAACAATGTGGACTTTGTCATGTGGAGAGAAAGAGAGTACATATATCTATACATATAGTACTACGTATTAGAGCTATGCTAGTAGTTTCTATCATTATCCTGTTGTTGTTTTTCAGTTGAACTAAACACATTTTACTGCCCCATCCATCATACACACATTCCCTTGTTGTGGAATGTTATGGTCAAGGTGTGGGTGGTTTGAAGAAATAATGTCCTTGTTTCTAATTTTCTGTACCCCTTGCATTTTGTTTGTTCTATGCCTTCAAACAATTAACTCCGGACCTTCAAAAACGTAGAGATGACTATAAATCGGAGCGGAGGGAGTATATAACATTTGAGTAATGGGCAAAGTGCATTCCCTTTTTAATTGAAACTCACGAAAAATGAAGGCAAAATCATAATGGTATAAATTCGAATGATGGGCGAAGAATGAGAAGACGCATATGTAGTAGAGAAACATTTTTATGCGATTAAGGAAGGTACAGAAGTATACAAAGAAGTTTATATACTTCCACCACATAATGTAAAAAGCCTCACAACAAAACAGATTGGATCTCATCATGCAATTTGACATCTTCTTCTCTCCTCCTCTTAGGGGGTTAACTACTACTATTACTACTACCACTACTACTACTAACTAACTACACTCATAATATATCATCACAGCTTCTCACTGCTCACCAGGCGGCATTGGTCCCTGGATCATAAGAGTTTCCGGCGGTCCTTCACGCCGAGTACCACTTTTATTCATTGCCACCACTTCTTCTCTGACAATGATATGAGCTGCCACATGTAAACAAGGAAGAGAAACATCATCATCACACTATTTGAACAAAAGAATAGAAATTCTCTGAATTACAAAAAGTTTGGCAAAAAAAAAACAAAAAACAATGTAGTACAACAACAACAAACCCAGTAAAGTTCCGGTGTGAACACACAAACCTTACCCCTACTTGACAGTAGAGAGGCTGTTTCCAAAAGACTTTGCAAAAGAGATATGGAGTGTTAAATAAAATCTCAGTCAAGTGTAAATCACACAAAGACCGGCATATCATTTGCTGGTAAATTTACACTATCTGTTATTGAGCCTTTGTTAGAATCATCAGCTAAAGCAAGTCAGCACTCAGCAGTCATATGACATCCAAATTTATCAGCCGTGGCTGTAGAGTTCTAAAAGAATACTCCATCCGACCAACAAAAAAGTGTCAATTTATGAAATAAGACCAAAATTAGGAGACACCAACGATTAGTTGGTCTCCATCAATATTCGTATCGAAGCTTGTGTGTTTATTGTAGGGAATCATCATCTAATTTTTTTTCATTGCCTCTTGATTAGTGAAACATATTGGAACATCCACTCCACAATTTCTAGGTTGCAATAGATAAAGATATATGGAGTGGTAATTCCAAGTATTACGAGACATTCAGAATTTTAAATTTTGACATTTTTGGGGACAGGCGGAGTAATAAATTTTGTATGACCAATCTACGTAGTGGTGTACCCCAGTCATGCTTGGAGTGCATTACTTTTGACACCATCCTTCTGACAGACATTCACCGCCACAGAACAATGCCAAATGTCTGTAATGTCGGGTAGAAGGGTGGTGTCAAAAGTGGTGTAAAAAATGGTTTACATATGCAATTTTTCTTGCATTTATAGTAGTAAATTAGTAACCAAAAGCAGAGTTGGGCAAGAAGTATTCATTCATAGAGTCCACAGGGAGGAGTAACCAACCTGGCGCGCAACCTGTGCCATTCTCCTACTATCTCGAGATGATTCTGCGGGCCATTTTGGCTGTTGATCCTTGGAAACAACACTTTGGTTCTCCTCTTCATTCTTCATCACCTCAATGCAATTCTTGTGTACAGAATCAGCAGCAGCAGCAGCAGCATTCTCACCCCGTTTCCTCTTCCTCTGGAACGTGTATTTGAAAGTTCGGTTTTCCTCTTTGGGAGCAGCAACTTCACATACCTTTGAACTCTGCAGCAGAGCCACAACAGCGTCTTCCACATCTGATTTGTTATGAACCGTGATCCCTGAACTCCCTGTGGACCCCGTTTCCAGTACTGCAGCAAGCACGTTGGCTTCTACCAATCCTTCATGCTCAGAAACTGCTTTCTCAACCCCATGACACTCACGCTGGGAGCCATCTCTATCCGGCGATGATATTGGTGTCACCTCAGAAGAGTCCTTACCTGGAACTGGAAGGTTTCCTTCTAAAGGAGCTCTATGTTTTCTCTGTCTACCTTCTATTTTTCTTTTCCTGTGAGAAGAAGATTTTAAGAAAGCCGCCAGTTTTTCTTCTTTCTTCCCATCACCATCATCATCAAAAGAAGAAGAGGAGTTGTTATTAATTTGCCCTTCATCCGTCTTCATTGGAAAGAGAGGAGCAGGAGGATGGATTCCACCCAAAGATACTCTACTTTTTGCACATCTTTTTGCCCTTCTTTTCTTCCTCTGAAATGAACCGGAAAAGACAAAACTTCCTGCTTCTATCGCTACTTTCTTATCAGCAGCATCAGGCACTGCAGAGACTTCTTTACAATCATTGCTGGCGTTTCTTCCATCACTTTCAGGTTTCACTTCTTCAGATTTTCTCTGTGAAATCGACTGTTTCTTGCCTAACATGTTTCCTTCACATGCACGGATTCTTTGAGTGCATCCGTTCCGGTAAAGCTCTGGTTCTTTGCTTCTCAAAATTATAGAAGGCAAAAGGTCAGGGTGTGAGAGATAAGAGCTTCCCGTGTGATGAAGTGCCCTACTACATGACTTCAATCCCTCGCTTCTCGCGCTCGGATTCATGATCCTGATGTCAGAAACTTCCACGTGTACATCATGAAGGTCTGATGCACAAAATGCACTCTCTCTGCTTTCTTTGTTGATCTTCACTCTCTCCAGCGCATCATGGGCTTCTCTCAACTCTCCTCTAAGATCACTCACAATATCCTCGGCCTCATGAAGTTGTGCTTCAAGTTCGTCAATCTTTCTCTGCTGACTCAAGCGTGTTGTCTCTGCTTCACTAATCTGTCATTTAAGTTTGGCATGCTCTAGATCAGTACAATTACTAATTCAACAAGAGCAAGCTGGATATAGAATAACAGGTCTCGCCAAGATAAATACTTTTCAAAAATTAATAATCGGAAAATAAAACAAATGTGTTGCAGCGAACAATTAAAAATCATAGGACACAGAAATAAAATAATATACAACTATACTGTGATAGCTGTGGAAGTTGCATCACTTGCATGAGCTTCTAGCAACCATGACATAAATACCTCACCTCCATTACCAAGTATACAGCAATTTTATTGTAATAGTTACTTATACCGCTTACTATGAGAACAGATATGAGATCAAATTAAAGTGTTGCATTCCAAAAGTTCATATTATGACACTTAGCATCTACAGATATCCAAACCTATATAGTAAATATATAAAAACTGAATATTTGAATCCTGCTGTTGGAAGAAAAAATATGTTCCATTCCTATCATTTGAAGTATTCACATCCCTTGTTGGAAATCTAAATAAGGTGTAACAATCAGAGCATATAAGAATAACCAAATTATGAAAATAATCTATGAAGCAGATACCAAAACTTGACACCAAGCTCCTCCAAAGAACATAGAAAAGCATATACAGAGTATTATATTGCAATTTGCAACAACAACCAGAGTTTCAGAAATGAGATTTTCATATACACAATGGAGTATTAGAGATCCAATGATATATTCTGACCCGAAACAGGTTTGTTCAAGTCCTTAATAAAAATTTTCAACCCAAGAGACACAGATTAAATATATAAAGCAACTGCATAAGAATGATGCAAGTTGTGATTATATGACTGATGGCCATAAGAGTCAAGAACGAACAGCTATATCACATATTCCGAATGTGATGTTCATAGTGTGATACAAATAGATACTAGAAAGAACACACACGGTAAAGTGTTGTCTCAAGACATTGCTGCTTCTATATTGTTCGACATAAGCATTCAAAACATGAAAAAGAGAGTGGCTTGCAGCCTTCAATGACTACAAGATTCTAAAATTCGCATTTTCATTGATTAAAAAAGACAGGGAAAAGATCTGCAATGCAATTTTCCTCTACCATTATAGGAAGTGCATTAATACCGCCATTAGTATTGTTCAGTTATACCAGCATTCATTTTTTTAAAATAACCAAAGGAAAATTTGATGCAAAAGGTCATTTTTTTTTCTTGGACTCAAAACATCCTAGTAGATGCAAATCATCACATTACCCAATCAGAAATGCAAAAACAAACACATGAATTGTCAATCAAGCCGAACGGGTATACGAAGACACAAATTGACACTCCAAATTCAAGAACTACCGGAGCAGTGGAACGAGGGACTACATTTGATAATCACAAAGATGGAGAAAACTGACCGATAGTAGACAGATTTCAGCGAAATCCAAACCCATTGCAATAAAATTAGGGGAAAGAAAGAAAAAACCTCACCTTTGAATCCATAATCTGCTTAATCCTGAGCATCGTCCGGAGTGCATCTTCTTTAACTACCTGCAGCTCGTGTTGAAGTCTAAGGGCTTTCTGCTCGGAAGCCATAATCCTCGCAGCCGCCTCCTTCGAGGTGTTCAGAATGATATCAGCATAGGCCTTTTTCAAAGCTGTCAATCTCTGCAAACCCAAAACTACTGATAATTAGTTCTGAAAAAATACTCCGTAAAAGGTAAAGAAAACAAAGAAAAGGGCAATCGCAGCGAGCACTTAAAGACCCGAAATTTCTTTTCAAAGAAAACGTAAAAACACGATCATAGTCGATCCCCATTCTTTTCTTTTCTTTATTGAAGATACAAGAAGTGTTGGGTTATCGGATGTTCAAGTGGCGGTTGCGCCGCCGATCATAACGCCGGTATAAAGGTGCGGGACATTACCTCGTCTTCGGTACCCATTTACGGCAACCTTAAAAAGCCTCGGAAGGAGAGCTGTTTTGAGGTTTTCGTGTTTCCGACCAAAGCTGTAGAGATAGAGAGAGAGTGGCGAGAAGAGGGAGGTTTGGAAAGGGTGGTTTTTTTCCTCCTCGGTAGCTGTCTGTTATGAACTGAAAGTTCTGTCTAATGTCGAAATTACATTATTACCCCTGGAATTGTCCTGAAACTACACGACTACCCCGGTCAACGACGAACGTTGACTCGCCCCTGCGGTTTTCATTATAGGGGTTCAGCTTTTTACACTTTTGCCCTCTATATATAAGCAGACTTGAATTTGGTACATCAATTGCTTTTGAAGAAATCACATCTCACACTCAGGACCAGTTTGGAAATAATGTCTTTGATTAGTGTTAGTTAATAAAATTTTAATGGTGCACATTAATTTTGAAAATATTAGCCTAAAAGTTACCCGCAGATAGCCTTTTCAAAATGCTAACGCTAATTTTTAACCCTATTTCCAAAGAGACCCTTAATATCCTTTTCTATAGTTTGAGAAATCACATTTGCATTCTAAATTTTCTATTGACATTCTCAAATATATTACTCACTCCTTTTATATGAATAGTATTGTTAAACAATAATACTACTCCATCCGTCCTATTTTGAATATGAGTAGTATTTAGTCAAATATTTACACGCTTTGACTACAAATTGTGAAAAAAGTATATTGAATTATAAAATAAATTTAATATAATTGGATTCATTTTAGGATCTAGTTTTGATATCTCAAATTTTTTAGCATTTCTTTATTTAGATTATATTTAATTTATGGTCAAAACGGATCTAGTTTTGATATCTCAAATTTTTTTGACCAATTTATGGTAAAAATGGGAACTTTTTTGTGGGACGGAGGGAGTAATATTACTTCTAGTAGTATTGGGTATGGTAGTGTTTGATTATTAGTCAGCTTCTTATTCTTATTTTTAGTAGATGTTGTATTTTAGTTACTCTCTATTCTCTATTTCTAGTTGTGTTAGGAGTCTCTTCTATATATATATATACTCTATCATATACTTCATAATTCAAAGAGCAATATTATTATTCTAATATTTCAACAAGTATATTCTTGACCATTGCGTGTTTTAATTGAAACAAATTAAGAAATTTGAAACATATAAAAAGATGAAGTGGTGTATTTGTTGATATAAAAAATAATTAATCTTTTGTACTCATATAACATATTAAATGATTTAGTTATATGTTAGTGATATAATTTAGGAGATTTGTCTAAACTTGATTTAGTATTTATTGAGTAGCTATATTTTTTGATGTTTTGTCAAAAATTTGAGTTTGGAGTCTAATTTATTACTAATGTTACTGTTTGAAAGTACTTATAATAAGTTTTTTTTAAAAACGACTAAATTAAATTTCAAAATATTTTCTTTGTTCAAAAAAAAAGATTTTTATATTTTCTTCAAATGGATAAAAGAAAATATTGAAAAAAATTCAAAGATATGAATGCTGAAAATTGAGCAATTAAAATGCACGTATTATTTTTTCGAAAGGAAAAAAGGCAAAAAAATCACTATAAAAAATACTCCCTCCGTCCACCTAAGATCTTCCCATTACGCGTTACGAGGTTTGACCGACTTTATTTTCAATTCAATTTAAATGATTATATGAGTAAAATTATAAAATAAAATTAATATAGTAATAAACTACATGAAAAGTTCTACAAAACTAGAGGTGACAAGACTATATTATTTTACGAAATGACTAGTAAAAATAAGCAAACAAAGTGAATGAAATTTGACCCTGTGAATAGTGTTTGAGAAGATCTTTGAGGGAGGGACAGAGGGATAGAGTATTTTTAGAATCGAAGGAGCTAAAAGTAAATTTCAAAATACAATGGTGACCCCCATTTTAGTCACATGGGCATTATTTTCATTTTTTCTCCTGAGGCTCTCCGATCAGCAGCAGCAATCATGAACAGCAGGACTCTCTCGTTCTCACTTCGCGCGGTGCACAACATTCCGGCCGCCGGCGACCTGTGAACGGTGCCGGTAACCTCTCAGAAAAGAAAAGATCGAGTAGAATAAGATTGGCGCTCTGATTTCGTGGAAGAACTAATCAAGAAAAAAAGGAGTGGTAGCACTCTCCCGGGCAGAAGATTTCAAGTGTAATCTGTACATTATCTGTTCGAACTGGACTGTAGACGAACAATTTGCTCATCGGCTCCGGAGAAAGAGGGTTTAGGGGCGGCGAACCCTGGAATTTTCCGACTGTTGACCGCCTTGACTGCGCGTCGATCTCAGCCCAAGCGATCGATGAACTGCCGATCTATTGGCTCCATCGCTTTAAGCGATACCGCGAGAAATGTCTAGTATATTAGAGCGTCTCCGATGGATTATTGCTGGTCTGAACAGACCAATTGCGACGCCTAAGAGATTGAATAGTGGTGGTGAAGACAGAGTGGCGCCATTTTCACAACAGCAGCAATCCCAAGTAGTCAAGTCTAATGAAAATTCCGTATCGAACCACAGGAATTCAAGACCAATGTTGGATGCTGTGTGTGAGATTGCCGTGTACATTCACAGGTTTCACAATCTGGACCTGTTCCAGCAAGGGTATGGCTGCTGTCACTTGCTCTACTTTATGTCTTTTTACCATATCACATCGAAAATAATTCTTGGGTGGGTGTGTGTTCGGTTTATTTGCAGATGGTACCAGATTAAGATTACAATGAGATGGGATGATGATGATGATTATGATTCTGTTGGAACTCCATCAAGAGTGGTTCAGTATGAAGGTAATTCAAATGGGCATATCTTGTCTGCAACTATGAACTCAACAACCTTGATGATGCAAGTCGGAAGCTTTAAACTTTTTTTAATAGGAAATGACTTGGTTTTATCATTTTCATTTTATGAATCAAATTTTGAACTACTTGGAGGTCATACATCTCTGATGCAAAGCTATTTTCTGTCAAATACGGAGTAATACTCAGTGGCAATGCTCCAATTGCATATTAAAACTTTTCGACAGTTAATTAACAATGATACACTCTTTTATGCTTGTAAAATTTCTCCAATATTGGTACTTGGTCTTTATGCTTATCTGCGTGCTTTTGATAAATAGATATGGATGTGTGTGTGTGTACTCACACAGACCATACATCTCACAAATATATTTTTTGGAATTAGAGTAGATGGTATTTAATGCGCTTATTTTTTAAATGGACTATGAGCGCTCTTTGTCAAATCTTTGCTTTGGATGCAGCTCCTGATATGGGCTCTGACAATGTATGTGGAGTGTGGATGATTGATGACACAGACAACAGTTACTTCACACAACCTTTCAGGATCAAATATGCAAGGCAGGATATCCTTCTCTCGGTGTTGGTCTCGTTTAATTTATCTCTCAGTAAATATGAGGTAGTTTTCTCCTCTTGTAGCGTATAACTGTCGATCCTTCTATCACTTGTAGAAATCTTCCATCAGATTATAAATGTGTATGTTTCTTCTCATTTCACATGGATCCTTGAAGTCTGAATAGGGGACTATACTACTTTTTTTGGTTCAAGGAATTTCAAAGGGAAAAGAAAAGAAAATGAAGTGGAAAATAGATTTTCTTGTTTGGTTAGAGAGAAAAAGAAAGGAAAAGTGGAAGGAAAAGAAAATGAGAAAGCAAATGTACTAAGTGGAGGGAAAACCAAATTCCTCCCATTTTGGTGAGGAAAATGAGAGAAAATCATTTTCTTTTCTTTCCCTTCCTAATTCCTTGAACCAAACATAGTGTAAGGGAAAAGATATAATATAAGAACCAAAAATGCTACTCACCTTGGGCTGGTTGTCTGCATGAAAATAAAAGGAATACTACTCTGTATTTTTTATGTACAAAATTTTCTTTTTGATGATTAAAATTAAGGCGTGAGTTAAATTATTTTCTATGAACAACAAGTTGGAGTCTTACAACAACAACAACAACAACCCAGCTGAATCCCACAACAGTAGGGTCTGGGGAGGGTGTGTGTACGCAGACCTTGCCCCTACTCGGAAGTAGGGAGGCTGTTTCCAAGAGACCCCCGGCTCCACCTGCACAAAAATATGGAAGAGAACACAGTATAGCACACAGATAAGGCACCAAGTACAAGCAACAAGTACAAACAATAGCAAAAGATTCCCAACAAATACAACACACTACAAAACACCCTCTACAACACCGAGCTCCTATCCAGCTACTCTAATCCTAGTTCTCCAAAGGTTCCTATCTAGGGCCATATCCTCAGTCAGGTCGAGAAGTCCTAAATCCTGCCTTATCACCTCCTCCCAATTCTTCTTAGGTCTACCCCTTCCCCTACTTCCCCCGATAACTGTAATCCTCTCGCATCTCCGTACAGGGGCGTCAGCATCCCGCCGTCTCACATGGCCAAGCCACCTCAAATGTATTCTTAGTACTGGGCAAATGTAGTTTGGATTTTGGCTTGAAAATGAAATGGCTATTCTGTGGACCAAAAAACCCGGAGGGATGTGTAGAAGAGTACATAGCGAATTTCAAGTGCTTTATATACTACTCCATATTATGCTTATGCAGTGTTTGGATTATTTCTACATTCATATCTTGCCACCTAATGGTTCCTTCACAATAACAGGGCTCATGTTCTTCTGCCATTATTCTGAAATTTGAGCTTTTTTATGCACCTGTGTTGGACAACAGGTCAGTTTGCTTGATAGAATATTGTTTAATGACTCTTCTCCATTTTTGGTTAAAAAACTTTTCTTTTGTTATCTTGGCATTGAATTCAAAATTGTATTTGGAAATTTCACAGCTCAAAAATGTTTTGACATCAATTACAGGTCTGATTTGCACGCCCCATTAGGCACAAAACCTGTAGCAGTCCATGAATTTCGAATTCCTCCTAAGGCTCTTCTGGGTCTGCACTCTTATTGCCCTGTGCATTTTGATTCTTTCCATGCTGTACTTGTTGATGCAAGTATACATATATGTTTATTGAAACGCGGTGTCCACACCCTTTCATCAAAGGTAGCAAGGTTTGTCACAGGTTCCACTTACTCAAGTAGTGAAGTTGAAGTTGTTCAATTAGATTATTAGAATAAAGCCGCCACTAAAATTTGAGGCTCCATCATTTTATAGTTTGAATATTTGATTGGCAACTACATTCTGCAAAGAATTGAATTCATGCAAATAACTTCTACATTTGGTCTTTCTTCTGCTTCTTGCACAGTGAAGTTGCTTCAAGTGAAGACTATGACAGAGCAAAGCAAGTAGGTGCTATCCACGAACTTATATATTTATATAGCTTTCATGGTTAAACTTACATGCACTCATATCTAAATGTCACATGTTTGATGATAAAGGGATATGTAAAGATAATAAAGGGTTATGGAAAGTTGGCCACTGCTTTGTACTGCCATGTTGTTCTCAGCATTTGCTCAAATACTTTCATCATTTATTCATTATCAAGTAAACAACGCATTTGTGGGATTAAGACAAAGCATTGATTAATAATAATGACCTTTTTCTCATATAGGCATTTAGATACATACATATGTAGTTTATGTACTAGGATTTGCAAGCTATACAAATTTTATTGATCTACTCCCTCCATCCCAATTCCCAAATTAAAAGTCCACTTTAACTGGCCAGAGTTTAAGAAAAGTGTTGATAAGTGAAAAATGTGTGGATGGAATTGATTTGAAAGAGAAAAATGATCATGGCCACATATTTCTTATAGAAAAGAAAATGAACTTTTATTTTGGGATATACCCAAAAAGGAAAGTGTGTTGGTTGTTTTTAGACGGATGAAATATCTACTCGAGTAGGGGGTCTCTTGTAAACAGTCTCTCTACTTTCTAGTATGGGTAAGGTCTGTGTGCACTTACCCTCCTGCCCTCCCCAGACGCCACTTTGTGGGATCCTACTCGGTGGTTGTTGGACATTATTATGAGATGAAACAAAAAGGAAAGTAGGGAAAATAAAGTTAGTGCTGTTCATTTTATTCTTCTTTTACATTGTATATATGTATCATAGGCATTTCTTCATGGTTAATGAAATCTTTCCCTGGTTTGGGGGGGGGGGGGGNAGCAAACCTGTACTCTGTAAAATAAGAATCTTAATATCTTATGCAATATACCTATCAGTAAATCTTCTAAAGTTCACTTGGACCAGGTTCTGCTTGTAAAAGGATTCATAACTGCTCGTGCCAGATTGCTTGAAGAGCTAAAGAAAGTTAGCATGGCTATTCATCAAGCTATTGATATAAATGATTTTTCTTGTAAGCATGAGGATAAAGAATTATTCAGTTCGAACCAGAACTGTGTTTCGTCTGCAGAAAATGATCAAGTTTCACAACAAATACCAAGCCGAAAGCAGAACACTTCACAGGTTTACGACATAGTTATGCATGCTTTTGTGGTTTTCCCTGGGGATTGGTTCTCATTGTTATTATCTTAATTCGGCATTTGCTTCCAGCAGAAACGAAATGGTTTGACTAATTTACAAAGTGAAGAAGTTCTTCATTCCCTATCCAATGATGAGCTAGTGGGCATGTTTCATTCTTTTGGCAACCAAGTATTTTACTTATGGAGTATATTCCTGAAGTTTCACAGGTTTGCTTTCACTTGTCACATTCAATAGACATACGCTTCCCTCGCAATACTGCTGCATTAAGTTTTAAGAGTAAGAACATTGCATTTTCGAATAAGTTTAAAAGGAGAGGAATCAGCGGATTACCAAAACCTAATGCTAAGCTTAAAAGGGAAAATATGCTTTTCTCTCCTTTTTTGCTGATGAGTGATGAGGATACTATGAACTTGCGTTGCATTAGAGGGAAATAGAAATGAGGTAAAGCAAGATTAAAGAAGACACTTGCAACATTTACTCACATTTATAAATTTTGTTTAATGAACTTTGTCATGCAACTCAATCTGTAATTCAGTTATTTTCATTCTTGGCTCTTAATTAATGACTCAAATTGTGGAAGCCAAAGTCTCAAATCTATACTTCTTTTCTTTATATGGTGCCAAAACAATCATTTCTGCACGTACATTATAGATTCATTTTCATACCCCCCCCCCTCCTCCTAAAAAAAGGAAAAAAGAAAGATTTGATTTGTATTATGTTATTAAATCTCTTGTTAATGTTATGAGTATTTGGGGGCCTGAAGAAACAGAAAAGCTATTTCAGAGTATCATGTAGTGAAAAATGTAAACCCGGAAATTTCAAGTTTATCTTACTCGCATCACTGCCCACCATTTGACTTGGATGTAAATGTATGAGCTTTAGAAGGATTGGACCATGACTTTCACCATCAAAACTCCAAAGCTTTAGAACATCAAGTGCACCCAAAAGACTAACATGTCGTTGATGTAGATCTAGTTACTTGATATGCATGCTATTCAGATAACAGAACTGTGGGGTGAAAACAAACACAACCCAATATAATCAACTCCGTTGGGGTCTGGGGGTCAAGATGTATGCAATCTTACCCCTGTAAAAATAGAGAGGCTATTTCCTTTAGATTCTTGATGCATTACTGCATTTACTACTTAAAACGTCATATATAGAATGAGAGAATACAGCTGATAATTGCAAAAAATTTGAGTTATGAGTTACTTATATATGTGGAGTGTGAGTGCTGATGTGTTCTATGTAGAAAATTACTTTCTTACCAGCCGTGGTGGCAGGGGTGCAGCCACAATAATCAAAATGTTCAATTGAACTCAAACCACCTGGCTTGATGAAATCTCTAAAGTTATTGTGTTGAGATGCATTCTCTATTTTGATGTCTTCCGCAGGGACTGTGCTTTTTAAATTTAATTTTCTTAATTTATGTATAGGGTTCACAGAACACCAATTTTGGATTTCCTTCGAAGTCAATGGACTATTGATCGAAGAGCTGAATGGTCAATATGGATGGTTTATTCTAAAGTTGAGATGCCTCATCAATATATAAGTAGTGAGGTTGATAGTTCTTCCTACCATGGCACTTCTAGGAGACCCCCTATTACTCGGAAGCTCTCTGAGGATGTAATTGGAGTTTAAGCTTTTGATTTACAATATCTATACTCATATCCTTACTTGGTGTTAAAAAATTTCGTAATGCTAAGTATTTTTTGTACTCTAAGCAGCCTGCCCAAACTGCAGCTATGCGTGCTGAGCTTCACCGGCGGAGTATTGCACAAATGAGAGTGAGTTCTATCTTTGTATGAAATAATGGTGCCTCCTATCTCTTCATTAGCTTGATAGTTTAAAGAAGAATTGGTTTGTTACAGATAAATAATTGTTCAATCCAAGACTTGCAAATTTTTGGAGATCCATCACGCATTCCAATTGTGATTGTAGAACATGTTGTAAATGCCCCATTGCGCTCAACTAGTAGAAATTCATACTTTAACCATCTGGAGCAAAAAGATGCAACTACATTTACTCCAGAGTTGATTGACTCTATAGCTATAAAGAAGTCATCTGATGAAAACCCTCAACAAATTGGACGGGATTTAAAACTTGTAGTCTTCGTCCATGGATTTCAGGCATGCAAGCAACATCTTCCGTTTACAGAATACTTTTTTTCTTCTTTCTTTACCTGTTTGTTATGTTTGGAACACCCCCCCCCCCCCCTAAAAAGCTTCTGAAATAAACAGTTTAGTTCATCTTAAATCAGTGTAATTTTAAAACTAAGCGGACTACACCTTTCTGCTCAGTAGCTATAACATTGCTAGCTTTTAACTTTATCTTCCAAATATATGCTACTCCTTACATCCCACTATTTTGTCCCTTTTTACCTTTTTTGTCCCATACCATACTCCCCCGTCCCAAAATAAACTTCTCACTTTCCTTTTTTGGGTTTTCCCATAATAAACTTCTCATTTCTTCTAAGGAATGGATTGGGTGACTCACATTAATTCTCTCCCCTCTTTGTAAATCTCAACCAAACATTTTTACTTTTTTTAATCCCTGTGAAAGTCAAATTGAGAACTTCAATTTGGGACGGATGGAGTATTTAATAGCATTTGTATGGTTCACATTAGTTCTTACTTTTTTTATTTTTTAACATCAATATCAATCACAAAATTTCACTTTTTTATATTTGTGTGCAAGTATCTGATGTCTCAAAAATAGTGCGATGGAGGGAGTATATGTTTTCAAGTATGTAATATTAGGATATATTGTTGTTGTTATTGTTAGTGTTAGCATTAATTTCAAATGCAGATGACCTTTTATGACAACATACCATGAGCAGGGGCATCATTTAGACTTGCGACTCGTAAGGAATCAATGGCTTTTGATAGATCCGAAGGCAGAGTTTCTTATGTCAGAAGTGAATGAAGAGAAAACTTCTGGAGACTTTAGAGAAATGGGATTAAGGCTCGCTCAGGAAGTAACTTCATTTGTAAAGAAGAAGATGGAGAAGGCCACAAGGCATGGGAATTTAAAAAGCATCAAGATTAGCTTTGTAGGTCATTCCATTGGAAACATCATATTAAGAACTGCATTAACAGGTTTGTTCTGTTCCCTATTGTGTTCTGGTTGCCTCCAATCAACCTCATATATCTCAAAAGTTTGGTTTCTACTTTTTGCAGAGAGCATCATGGAACCCTATCTCAGATATCTGCATACATACATTTCAATTTCTGGCCCACATCTTGGTTACTTGTACAGTTCAAATTCTTTGTTTAATTCTGGGCTTTGGCTTTTAAAGAAGCTCAAAGGCACCCAGTGCATTCATCAGCTTACCTTTACAGACGATCCTGATATTCAAAATACCTTCTTGTACAAGCTTTGCAAGGTACTTATTGGTCAGAAACATTTGTTTTTACTCTTTTCGCCCACATGTTGTACCAAACAACCAAGTGTTCAATGTTATGTGCATTATAAGCATGGTTTAAAAAGGCGTGAGATGCAAAGAAAAGGTCCTTAAGGCTTAAGTCTTAGTTGGCTTATGCCTTGTGGTGTCCGAGGCACGAGGAGTGAGGTTTAATGGCGTCAAGGCTTATCGACCTTTAGGCTTGATTTTAAAGAGTAAAAATAGAGTTTCACCATCTTAGTTGGCTTAAACGAGGCTTATGCCTTGTGGTGTCCGAGGAACGAGGAATGAGGCTTAATGGCGTCAAGGCTTATCGAGCTTTAGTCTTGATTTTAAAGAGAAAAAATGGAGTTTCGCCCTTTTGAAGAGAGCGAGTTTTAAACTTGTCGGGCTATTTTTTAAGCTATTGGGGTTCAGTTCCTTTGGACACAAGCCTAGTCTAACCCTCTCCTTTGGTTTCTTCTCTGTTTTATATTAAACAATGAACTGTAGTCTCTTTCTTCTTTTGTCCCTTAGTGCCATACAGACACAATCATAAGAGCACGCCTCTTCATTTTTCTATCTTCACTGGAATTGCCGAAAACCGAGCAGTCCCTCAACTACCACAACTTTCATATCTCATCTCTATCTTTCATATCTCTTTCTTCCTTCGTCCCTTAGTGCCATACAGACACCATTGTAAGAGCATGCCTCTTCATTGTTCTATCTTCTCTGGAATCACCGAACACCGAGCAGTCCCCCAACTACCACAACTTTCATATCTCATCTCCATCTTTCTGTAACCCCCCCCCCCACACACACGTATGCTTATATTCTGTTTTCATCCATTCACTTTTTCTTCTTTCTACTGCCTCCTTCGTTAATCTCCTCTGTTCTCTGTAACTTTAATCCGTTTCTATGATGTAGCTATTGCTTTTGAAGACTAGTATTTAGGAATTCAGAATGGTAAGTTTAAGCACGGTCTAAGTTTTTTGTAATGGTTTGGCATGCATATTTCATCATTTTGTGTGGTATTGACTTTATGCTTTGTCTCTTTTAGAACAATACATGTGTTTTTGTTTCAGTTGTCAAGTTTATATGCCATTAAACTATCATTATAAGTGTTCTGTTTTATCTATTAAGGAGTACGTCTTATTATTATGTTATTTATATTAATTGCCTTGATCCCCATTTTCTCCTCTCAAAACATTAATTATAATTTGTAAGACCTCTTCAATTGCATTATAACTCTTCAGTTGTGCATTATTGAATTGTACGTGCTGTGCATTACTATACTTCTCTAAAACAAAGTTACGTAAAGACTTAATTTCGTGATGCAATTAAAGAAGTTTCAGAAACCTTTGTATAAATTGTTAAAATGCCTTAGTTCCAATGTCATCTTTGGGAACTTTCAAGGGGTCCTTATTGTTTATTACAAGCAAAAATTGATAACTCATGCGTCATTAGCAGCGGAAGACATTGGAGAACTTCAGGAATATTATCTTGTTATCATCGCCACAGGTATTCATTCTCTTCATTCCAAATCAATTGTGCATTTTAGATTCTTGGAGAAGAAGAGGGAGGGAGGGAGCAAATTTCTGACCTTCAGAACTGAGTTGCGATGCGTAGGACTGGTAGTAATTAATATTCATGCATAAACTGATGTGGTGGTGCTTTCAGGATGGGTACGTTCCATACCATTCAGCTAGAATAGAGATGTGCCAAGCATCCTCAGCAGACTCTTCAAAAAAAGGGAAGAGATTCATGGAGATGCTCAACCATTGTTTGGACCAGCTACGCGCACCGTCATGTGAGCACCGGGTTTTCATGCGATGCGATGTTAATTTTGATACATCCTTGCAGGGAAAGAACTTGAACACCATGATTGGCCGGGCTGCTCATATTGAGTTTCTTGAATCTGATTCGTATGTGAAATTCATAATGTGGTCTTTTCCACAACTTTTCCGTTGAATGCTGCGTCTTAGGCGTGCGTGGTGGTTAACAGTTCCTTGAAGAAAGATGATGATGATGATGATGAGACTCAGGTTTCCAATTTCTGGGTACAGTTTATTACTCTCTTCACTGAATATTGTATCCTTCTCAGACAGAGTTTATTTAGCCCATCCGAGAAAACGATACAAATTCTAGTTTTGTTTATTTTGGGAAATAGTGCAGTTAATTATTTTGTGCGGTTATAGTATGATGTTAGGTAAGTAGTTGAAGAACAACATGCTTGTGCAGTTGTGCTGCCTCTTTATATTAAAAGTATAGGAATATTTTCATGCTATGACTTGTATGAGTTTGGGGCTTTTGCCTCGTGCCATAAACTGCCATTGACACTTTTAAATGTAAATACTACTCGAGTAGTATAAATAATGAGAAACTTGGTGTACTAATGTACTTCGTATTACGCTTGTCAGCTCTAAAATACTCAACTTTTATTATTGTTGTTGTAAGTATTGTTGTTGTTGTTGTTATTATTATTATTATTATTATTATTATTATTTGAAGGAGTTATTTTTATCATTAGTTATTATGATATTCATTGAAGAAAATGAAACTTTTCATTTATAAATTAGCTAAATGGCACTTGCCTTGAATTGATAATAACTTCAGTTAAATTTCATAAACAACAAACTTAAATTAGGACGAAGAGAGTATTTATTCTAATTTTATATAGTACATACTTTTTAACATCAATATCAATCACACAACTCTAAGTAATTCTCGTGCCTTCATGTTTCAAAAATAGTAAGATAAAGGGAGCATAAAACATCTACGAGTACAATTGTTGCTCCGCACTCTGCTCGAAGACTTGTCAATGTTAAAACATGCAATAAACATCTTTCAAAATGGAGAGTAGTGTATGAGGAGCATCGAACCATTGGACTTTGAAGAACATCCATAGGCTTCCATTATCATTGAAAGCTCGATAAACAAAACTAACATGGAAAAACATACCAATGAAACACAAACAAAAGTCTCAAAAAGGACCAACAAAACACTCATACAAGAAACTACAAAAACAAAATTTTCAAATTTAAAAGATTCGTTTACGACCGCTCAAAAGAGGAGGCAACAGCCCCAAATGAAACTAGTAGAGAGTTTGATCTCATTCCAAGTTCTACATACAGTATTAGACAAATGATATAGAAGCCTGAAGCCATATCAATACAATCTTACATTCATAAATTATAATCATCCAGAAACAACTCAAATTTGAGTATTTTTAGGAAGTGCAATGAAATTAGCTACGGTAGTAGTACAGGCTCATTAATGTCTGTTCCAAGCTCATATTAAGTTTACAAAGTAGCAACGCACACAAATACAAATATTCTTCTTGCCCATAGTAAAAGCAACCACCCAACCATCAATGGCTGTCCGATCACAGAGACTCAGGACATGGTCGGATTCTAGACGGCATCTGCAAACCTGCCCTTTGACCGCCTAAGCTTTGATGAAGTAACAAGTTTTTAGGAGTTATAGACATCTTGCTAAGGGTATTATCGAACTCCTCAAAATCCTCATTGCCACGGGCAGTCCCTTGACCTATTATGTCTATACCGTTCCCAGGTATACAGACTTCGACATCATCATCTTCATCACTCGTGCATTCGTCTTCTTCAATCTCATCATATGCATTTCGAACCATTGACCAGTATACATAGTTTGGCCTAATAAACCTGTCAGCCTTTTTTAGCAAGCAGGGATCAAATGGGAAAAATGTATCCAGCCTCTGATACCCACCAAATGCTATTGAGTGTTCAGACTCCAGTAGACCGCCGACAGGGGCATCACTGTCAGGGAAACTAAATAAGCATGTGGCTTCAGCTACCCTAAGGAACTCTTCTACTATAGACGGTAAACAAACCTGATTGAAAAATGAGAGATGATTACCACAATGATCAGTTCAGGTTTATTCAATAATGTTTTGTGTGTTGTGTTTTCAAATTTCATTTTTTAGTCACGATTGTAAATTATTTGTGTGCTCGGTGCATCTGTTTCGGGTTTATGGTCTAAGATTATTTGTTATGAAAATATATGGTCTTTATAGAAATTCTAACAATATGTTTGGTTCAAGAATTTTTGAAGGAAAAGAAAAGAAAATGATTTTCTCTTATTTTCCTCACCAAAATGGGAGGAATTTGGTTTCCCTCGACTTAAAACATTTGTCTTCTCATTTTCTTTTCCTCTAACTTTTCCTCTCCAACCAAACATGAAAAACTTTTTTCCACTTCATTTTCTTTTCTTTTTCCTTTCAAAGTTTTTGAACCAAACACAAACTAAATGTTTCATAAGCACGTCTCAAAAGGGAAAACATGCCTGACGAAATCAAATCATTATTGTTTCTAATATCTAATAACTTCCAAAATTATATTTCTGTTTTTCAGAAACAAAAAAACAAAACCATTCCGCCAAATGTAGTTCAGCGTTTCTGCTTTTAGAAAAAAGTGAAAAGGGAACAGAAAACAAGTGTTAGCTAAAAACACCAGGATGTTTCTTTTTTGTAGGTTTCTGAAGAGTAACATAAAACATGAAAGGGCTTAAACCTGTCTTCTAGAAAAAGAAAAAGAGTACAATTTGCATAATCAGTTTTTACCGTCAAAGGACTTAATGGATGCCTCAGAATATCCTCAATACGCATGCGCAGGAGTTGAGATTTGAGCCGGAAGAAACTGTGAATGGACCCCCTTCGGAAGCAAATTATGTACATTATGGCCTTCAAGAAAGGTAAAAGATAGAATTAAGTAAACATTATTTTCCCAGCTATAAGCAACTGATAAAGCCATACTTTCCAACTATCCATGAGTGTTCTTGAGTACATGGCAGCACTGCATAATTACTGGTGGCATACCCATTGTTAGTGGTCTGATGGGGTTTTAGTTTACATATCCAGATTATGAATTAAGAATAATGTAAAGAAGATAAATTTATATTATCAGAGACCAGAGACATGATAATATGATCCGTCACACACAATTATGTTCAAAGAATTATTTGTCAAGATTGCTTTTCTATCACAAGCAGGATTGAGAAATGATGCATAAGATATAAATTATACACACAGACACTCCCTATATCTTGTTGTTTTTGTCGACATTCATTTTGGTACAAGGACCAATGCAAAGGAAAAGAGGGTGTAGTCTTATCACTGCCAGAGTTGCGATCAAAGACAAAGTAACCGCTTGGCACCATTGGTGTGTGTGTGTGTGAGTGAGTGAGAGAGAGAGAGATGGACTTTGGGTAAGGAAGGTTACTCATGTCTATGAGTGAGAAGCAGCGATTTCTGGCAAGGCTGCAATTCATATTTGGAGGGGGAGATTTAAATTTGGAAGAGGTGAGGAGGTATTGCTGTGTACGTACTACGAAGGCTATTCAAATTCTGGAAGAAGAATTACACAAACTCCATCCACTTCCTTTCGTCTCACTTTCCTTTTTGGGTTGTCCATTATTTTTTTACCAATTTCTTAAAATGGAAACAAAATAAAGTGTTAAGGACTCTTTTGCCCTTTGAATTTAGAGCTCACCCTCCCCTTCTTTCAATCACAGTCGTAGTGGTCTCTCTTTTGTAATCGAAAACCTTTCATTGAAATTCTTTTTTTTCTCTGCCCAGATTTTGCCGTTGCAAATCTCATCACTGCCGCCGCCCGACGTCTACTGCACTGTGTCACCTCTGTATCAGTTGTCTTCCAACAAGTAGGAAGAGAGATCTTCCAAAGCCGGTGATGACAATGGAAAACAAGCCAAGGAGCTGTATATTCTTCCAAGGTTGGTGACGATGGGAAAAGCTTTTGAGGTGTTCTTCACTCCTTTTTTCGTTAACACACTCTCCCCCACCTCCTCCCTATCAATTTGTTCTCGCTCCTTCGATTTTGATTTTTAGTTCTTCAATTTGTTCTTCTTCGTTAACTCCTCCCTCTCCCATTCTTCTCTCCTTTCTCCTCCTGGCGTAACCTTAGGCTTGTTGAGGGGCATAAGCGAAAGGAGCGGCAGTGCAGCAAGATCTTGATGAAGAAGTCCAACAGGTTTGGTTTGAAGATGGAGCACGGAGGAAAACAGAATAATTGGAAGAAGGGGATAATTAAAAGGTCAAAGCAGTTTACATCTTACATACAAAACCATGCAAAGTCAAAGCATTTTATATATATATAAATATATATATATATATATATATATATATATATATATGGAAGACGTCTGCTGGCATCCTTTGTTTAATTTTACCAGTTTGTAATCGTTAAACACATTATCCTCCTTTCTTCCTTTACACCTTTGGGGCTAGGTCTTGCCCTCCCCAAACGTATTGTAACTTTGTTCACTTTAATAAAAATCATTTGAATATATATATATATATATATATTTGTGTGTGTGTATATGTATGTATATATATGTGTGTGTATATATATGTATGTATGTATGTAAGATCAAATAAAAACATTTCATTCATAACAAAATGGATTAGGATTTTCAGAAATTAAATACAATTAATAAATACAGAATATAAATTAATCACTCACTTGACATCCCGCATAGAAATTCTTGTGAGCTTTAGGATTTGGATTAATCTCATTGGTCCTAATTTTGCTATAATTATAACACCAATTCACCAACCTGAAGCATCATAAGAAAGTAGACCACAAAAAATTATCAGAAACATACGATCAATCCTTCCTTACACCATAAGGAGCACCTACGACTAAGAATTTTGCAAGGGAATACATTTCCAAACAGTCAGCAACAAATGGCAAGTCCATAAACTTTGCACGTGCTAGGTAACTAGCAAGATAAGCGACAGCACTCATTCTGCACGAACCAAACACAACACTTCATAACCAAAAAGGGAAAAAAAAAGAAGAAAATAGAGGGGTGGGGGGCAACAATACAAAACAAGACACAATCTATGTCTTACCTCCATTCTAAATGGGCACTAGTCTCAAAAATATGAATGAGTGTAATCGCGAATCTCTTGCCACAGTTTTCGGGATCAAGTGAACAAGCATAGAACACAAGAAACTGAAAAATACATAAGATCACAATGACCACGAGTAAGATCCTCAATGCAAGGAAAAAATAGAATAAATTTATGTCTACCTGGGCAAATTTGGACTTGTATGCTGTCAAAACAGTTTTTTCGAAAGAGTGAAGTAGTGTATCAAAGATCTGCACAATGTCAGAAAACATACATAAGAGAGGAAGTACCAAAAAGATCTCAATAGTTTTTTTTGTGGGGGGGGGGCATGCAAATGATACCTACCAGAGAAAGGCGACCACTCTCTTTGCAAGACATGAAGTATTCGAATGTGAGCACCATTAAACTATCCAACATCTGAGCATTTTTACTGTCCCCAAAAAACTTGTCTATCCAAATATCCCTTTCAAGCTGCAATACA